TTGGAAACAAAGTTGGTGTAAATGGGCCCCAGAGGCAGCCATAACATAAGCAGAGGACACCCTCTAGGCAGTCCCTAACCCTATTAGAGTGAACAGAATCAACATCAAGCAACCAAGCCGGTCTCCCAGTGCAGCGCCAATTCTAAATGTCCTCTCAGTGTGCAAACCCTCCAGCATGACTGTTGAGAATATTACTGGATTGTACTTTATTTATTTAACAAACACTCACACAGCACTTACTATGTGCCACAAACCGTTCCAAGCACTTTAAAAAATATTAACTTGTTTAACTTTTATAACCTTGTAAGGAGGTAATTATTATCCCCATTTTAGTGATAAGGAAATCAAGGCACAGAAGTTTCTTAGAAGCTACTTAGTGGCAAGTGGGATTTGAACCAAGAATCCTTGCTCTTCACTACAAGAGCCACTGTGCTAAAATGTTACTTTGTTGCAAGCAGCCCAGAACTTGTTAATTTTGAAAAAGTATGCTACTTTGTTACTGTTTAAGCATTCTCTGGGTCTGGACTACTGCACATTGCCTAAAAGACACTAGCATTTGCTAGGTACTTCAGGAAAGAGCAGAATTTAGGATTATTTGTACCTTATTTTGATAGGAGAGGGACAAAAGGAAGGAAAAGGGGCTGAGTGGCACAGTGACCTACCACCCTAGAAACTTTGCTCAGTGACCCAAGGTCTCGGGAACATGCACTCCGCCTGCTCCGGGGCGCTGGCCTGGCAGAGGCACCTTAAGTAAACATTAGGGTCAGACCGCATCCTCTGAAAAGGAAAGAATGTCTTTTTGTGAAGGATCAAACCAAAACACACCATCCAAACTTCCAGGCAGCCTTGATTGTCATTCTTGAGCTGAGAGACCCCTTTTTCTCCAAGTTGGCCGGGCTGCCCAGTGTCAGAAAGGTTTTTGGAAAAACAAGTAAATAAAACTGCCAGCTCCTGGCAGACAACTAAAATTAAATATGCTGAGCCTCACTATGAACTGCCTAGGATATAGCAAGAAACTGAAGGAAATCTTCAACTTTTGGATGGAGCCTAGGATGTGCCCACTTTACAACGACTCACAAATGTGAATAAACAGCCAGGGCAGTCTTTTAGTGAATTCCAGGCAGAAAAGCCACAGTCTTCTGGCAGCTTTTGACCATCTCATGTTTCAGAGCAGGGCGCCTGTACACAACGCTAATGATTCCCATAACACATATTGTTGGGAGTTACCCAATGTATACAAAACCCTGCATTCGTTCAAAGATATCTTCCCGGATTATGGAGTAAAATGCCATCCACTGGGTAGCAGGAAATCTCCAAAACAAACAAACACAGTGGAGATAGGGCAGCCATTCCCCCAACAAATTCACCTTGACACAAAACTGATTCCACTCCCCTCCCTCATGACATTCGCCTCCTGGGAGCCTCCTCACAGTTCAGAGGATTAATCCCATCACTCACCTGCGGCCTTGAGATCCCTGCTTTGTTCAAGGCCAGAGGCTCAAAGTGTGAGTGTCCAGCAGTCACCCCAACATTCCAGACTTGCAAAACTTAGCGTAACAGGGCTTTCTGGGTGTGGGAGGGAACCTGTATTTTACTCATTTCTGACACTGGAAGGCAGGTCAGTTAAGGCTCAATTTCAACAACTGAGCAGACCTGGGTTCCAGTCATCATTTACTAGCTCAATGTCCTCTGCAAGTTACTTCACTCCTCTTTCCCCATCTTTAAATAGAGATAATAAAACTAACAACCACCACAGTAATAATAGCAACCATTTTCTAAGCATTTGGCCAGGAATGGAGCAAGCCCATAAGCCTCCCAGTGACTTGCTGAAGTAGATCATTATATACACAAGGAAACTGAAACTCAAGTATTCAAGGTGGTTGATCAATGGAGTGACCAACGGAACACACTTAACACCTAGTGGGTGCCCCCAAATTGGAGCTAGTGTCGTTGTCAGCACAATGCAAACACAGCATAAGCAGGGAATACTTGAACTGAAGTCCAAGCTGGATGTGACTGAAGGGCCCTCACCCAGGACAGCCCCAGGAGCAGAGGCAAGAGGCCTCAGGCATTACCCCCACGGGAGTCTGGGCACTTGGCAAGTTGCCCATCAGTCTCCAGAGACTGGAAAACCTGTTTGCTGTGAGATTTTTCTGGAGTGCAACTAGGCAGCCAATGACAGGAGTCATAAATGTGGTCAGACCCTTTGACCCAGGAATGCCACTTTGCGGAATACGATCCAGGAAATAATTTAAAAGGAGAAAATAAAATAAAACAATGTAACTTGTGGTGGAAAGAGGTCCACAGCAAGAAGCTGCCAACAGCCCACAGGCCCACAAGTGGGGAAGGGGAGGCTAACCCCGGAACGTCAGGACAATGGTAGTCACCATGGCCTGGGTGGGTTCAGGCATGAAAATCATGAGGGTCTAGCAGAAAAATGTTAGGGACCAGATAAAGTCTAGAATGAGACCTCCAAGTTCGGGGCACACATGGGAAGCCATGCTGGACACAGCCGCAGCCTCTGTAAACAGTAAATCAGGCAGTCCAAGATTTTCTGGGGCTGTGGTTTGGGTTTTTTGTTTGTTTGTTTTGTTTTTTAAAGAGATTTCATGTCATGTTTGGATACTCCTGGTTTACTTTAAGTTTCTTTGTTCAGTTAATTAAATAAATACACATTTTTAAAACAAAGGAGAAGGGATCCAAGTTGAGCCCAACCAGGCCTTGAGATTCCTCAGAGGGGAAGCTGGTTTCTGAAAAGGAAAGAATTTCAGGAGAATTCTAAGGTTCTCCTTCTACAGTTACAGGAGATAGGCCCCCAAAAGAAGACGACAGCATGCCACACAGCTTCCCTCTGCAGAGAAACCACCCTTGATGGGGAGGCTGACTGGGCAGTGGCAGCTGCCTGGGCCCAGGAAGCAGCCCTCTGTGCCAGGACAGGTGGAGGGGAAGGCGAGGGAGAGGACGGAAGAGATTCAGCCCAGAGGGAACCCCTTTTAGGCTAGAGAAAATCCCAGCAGTCACACCCACCACCCTTTCTTCCTGTCTCAGGGGTCACAATAAGGCCCGGTTTCCTCAGGAAGAGACCCTAGACCCAGGCCTGGGCCAGCTCCTCCCTGGTAAGATGCTCACCTGGCAGAACTCACACACACAATGTAGGTGCACACACATTCTCTGCACACGCACACTGTGTACACACACACTCTTCGCACACATGCATGCTCTGTACACACGTGCAGTGTGTACACACACATTCTCTGCATACATACACACTCACACAAGCATACAACACACCCCTTGCTCCTACCACGACAGTCGACACTCTCAGCAGCAGCCTTGTGACCCTTCTGGGTGCCCTCCACTAGCGCGGGTCACAGGAGGGACCTCATCCTCATTCTCCTTCCCCAGCTCAAGGAGAGAGGACCCAACACCAACTCCCTCCCTCCTCTCAGGAAGACCCTGGTGTGGCCAGGGCCGGGAGAGGAAGGCATAGTCTCCTTTAATTGTCACCCATTTCCTTCGATTCTCAGCTGGACCCTCGCTTCGTCTATGACCTGAGGTAGGTCAATTAATCCTCTGGACCCCCATGTCTGTAAAATGGGCCTAACGACACCCCAACTGGCGGGATGCGTAAAGACTGAGAAAACTCCGAAGGCTGTGGCACACAGCGCGCTCCAGTTTGGGCTCCCTAAAGGCAGCAATTACCATTCCCACCATCATCTCTAAGTCACAACTTCAGCGGCGAGGGCGGCTCGCCCCGCGGCGCCGGCCAGAACTCAGCGGGGAGCAAAGGGAGCGAGGAGGACACACCCCTGCGGCTCCCCTTCCCACCTCGGGGCCCACACCCATTCCGGAGACGACGCGGGAGGGTGCACGGTCCGTCTCCACCTGGGCGGGGAGGCCCCAGGCTCAGAGAGCGGTCCCTCCCCAGGTCTCCCCGCCTGGCCTCCGAGCCAACGCCCGTTCAGCGGCCGCCGAGCGAGCGCACCAGCCTGGGCGCAGCGGCGCGAGCGCTCCGGGGAGAACCTGACTAGGGCCCCACCCCCGGGGACGGCGGACCACAAGTTTCCAGCCCCTCAGCTCCCGCAGCGGCACCCGAGGTACACGGATATGCCACAACCCTAACTGTCCCCGTGTAGCCCCAACCCAAGCTCTCAACCCACAGCCCCCCAGAAACGCACCGCCGGGGCACACGGCACGGAGCTATTACACGAGGTCCCAGCCCAGGGGACGGCACCAGGGAGGGGGCCTAGGTTCCCCCATGTCCCTACTCCCTCGGGGACGACGCCCCTGGCCTCGAAATCCACACCCAGCCCGCGGCTGCTGGGCGTGGTGGGGGCGCGCGGCAGGGAGCCCCAGTCTTCCGCGGGGGCGCACGCGCGGGGACTGGATGGTACCCCGCAGACGCCTGGCCCCGCCAGGGCACTCACCGATGGACACGAGCTTGATGTTCTCACGATCCAAGAACTCGAGCGCCACGGACACGTTCTCCAGCTGCATCTGGCGGAAGGTGGGCCGCTGGTGGTACTTGCGGTACATGCGCTTCTGGCTGAGCACCTCGAGCAGCGCGATGAGCCGTAGCCCATCGCTCAGGTCGGTCTGCAGGTTCCCAATGCGTTTGTTCACGCACTTGAGGTGCTCATTGCACCAGCGCGTGAACGTGTTCTGCTGGATCTTCTTCCATGGCGCGTCCTCCGCCAGGTCCTTCTCGGTTACCGGCATCCTGGCGGCGGGGAGAGAGCAATGCGCAGCAAGCTGCCGGGGACTGGCGTCAGGAGACCCAAGGGCCGGGGGAGCGAGAGCCGAAGCGGAGGGGGCGCGGGGCTCGAACTCGCTGCTACCGGAGTCGCGGCCGGCGCTGCTCTGCGGCCGCCTGCCCCTGGCCGCGCGAGGCGTCTGGCCCCGCGCCTGCGCACTGAGCCGATCCGCCCCGATGCCCCGCCCTGTCCCAACCCTCGGGCGGGTGTTCCCGAGCCACGCTCTCCCCCTGCCGCCCGAGGCGGGCACTGCGCCCCGCGTCCTCCAAGGCGTCCCGGGACCCCGCGCTGTGTGCTCACGGCCTGGAGAAAGGGAGCTGGGCGAGAGACGTCGGGCTATCTGACGGAAAGGTCACCCGGTCCCAGAGTGAGGGGACTGCAGAGGTCGGGAGCTGGACAGAATGGGCGGGGACGGCGGCGTGGGCCATGGGGGAGGGGTGAGCGGGGAGAGGCACTTCATCTACTATAGGGTCTGTTAGGCACTGGAAGAGACTGTGAAGGAAACGGACGTTTTACTATTCGTGTTAATTAAACTCATATGAATGATAATATTATTCATAGCGTTTATTGAGTGCCAACTGTGTACCAGGCCCTCTTAGTGACTGTGAACCAGTGGTAAATAAGACAAATTTATTCCTTAGCCTTGAGGAGTTCATAGACTAATGGGAGAGAAAAATACAAATCAACGATGACAGACAGCTCCGTAGTAATACTAGAAATGAACAATAACTGGCTGTGTATTAGTTTCCTAATGCTGCTGCTACAAATTACCAAAACTTTGTCCTGAAAAAAACCACAAATTTATTATCTTGCCGTTCTGGAGCTTAGATGCCCTCCACGAGTCTCCCCAAGTAAAATCGGGTGTTGGCAGGATGCAGTCCTTTCCAGAGGCTCCAGGGGAGAATGTGTGTCCTTGCCTTTTCCAACTTCTAGAAGCTTCCTGCATTCCTTGGCTGTGGCCTCTTCCTCCATCTTCAAAGCCAGCAAGGGCAGGCAGTCTTTCTCACACTGTCATCTCTCTGGTTCTCCAGTCATATCTTCCTCTAACTCTTTTAAGGACCCTTGTTGCACCCAGTTGGTTAATCCGGGATATTTTTAAATCAGCTGGTTGGCGATCTTGATCCCATCTGTAACCTTACTTCCCCTTTGCCCTGTAAGGTATTGTTCACAGGTTCTGGGAATGAGGAGGTGAGCATCTTTGTGGACCATTATTCTGCCTACCAACACCATGCATGGAGCCCCTGTTCTATACTCATCCAGGTCCTGCACTAGCTGCTGGGAAACAGCGGAGACCCTGGCCAGACCTCTGCTGTCAACAGCTGAATAATTATAAGAGTAGCAGCTAGCATCTCCTGAGTACCTGCTCTGTCCCTGTGCCAAGAGCTGTGCTAAGCGGTTCCTTTTCTATTGGCCTGGTTTGACAAGAATTAACTGAGAGGTTAAGTGACTTGCCCAGGGCACACAGCACAAACAGAACTGGAATCCAATCTGTAAGAAAAGCACAGGGTGCCCTGGGCCCAAGAAGTGACACCTAGCCAAGGGTTGGGGGAAGGGGGTCAGGGCAGGCAGGCTTCCTGGGGGAAGAAGGGCTGGGCAGGATGGAGGTCAAGGGCTTCTAGCCCAAGAGAAGCCAGTAGATTTGTGGTTTTAACTTTCTGTAACAGGTCATTTGCATACAATGATGAAATGCTTTGTTCAGACAGATTGTCTCACTCACTAGAAATGCTGAAAACAGCCTGGGGGAGAGAGTGTCTTACCTGGCCCTGCAATAACTATTTGAAGGATTATTCCCCTCCTTAGTGACTAAGTGAAGAGATTTGCTGGAGGTTGGCTGGTAAGGACTAGACAAAGCCGGGCTTGAACCTGGGTCTAACTCCAAAGTCTACACTGTGCCTAAGGGCCCCCATGCTGTTCCCAGCCTGGGCCCTGTCTTAGTCCACACAGTCTGAGCAGCACATTCACTAGAGGCAGTGTTGGTGACCTTTGCCTCCCCCATGCCCGAGGCTCCTGGTTCCTCAAGCTTTCCTCCACCCAAAGTCATCCATCAAAATTTATCTGCCAGTGTCTCACTCCAAGGGGAGCTCCTCCCTGCTAGGTGTGACTGGAGCTTAAATGATCAACTCAGCACAATCAGCAGCTGCGAATGGGCTCAGGTTCCCCTTTCTTATAAAATATTTCTGTTTTCACCAGTTCTTGACACAAATAACTAAAGAAATTCTGCATGTAAATATCCAGTCCACTTCACTGGGAGCTGAGACATCCCTGTCTTAGGCTGAGTCCCGCGATTCCCTCCATCCAGTCCGGAGAAGCCTTCGCGTTCTCGAGGGAGCGATTTATGGTGGGGATGAAGGGGACTCAGCAGCCGCGGTGGAGGATGGGGGTCAGTGTGTTCTGAGATGAGGAGAGGAAGCAGACAAGGTCTTCAGATGGCTCGTTATCGATATTTGATGACAGATGAGGGCAAACAACTCAAGGTAGGCATTTCTGCAGGAGCATTTTAGCCAACACATTCCACAGTTTTGCCTGACGGCGCCTTTATTTAACAAATACCCTAAATTTTGTCCTAGGCTTCTCTGATCTTTTCGTAGAACTGCCCAGAGTGGGAGGGTGTAGAGAAGTGAAAAGCACAGGCTTCGGGTGTGAATTCTGGCTGTTCTGTCTTTGTGACCTTGAACAAGTAACCTCTGCAAGCATGTTTTCTCATCCAAGTGATAGAGATAACGCACCTACTCCACTCCTGGGGTTATTAGATAACACAAGCAAAACTCTTAGTGTAGTGCCTGGCACACAATAGACGCTCAATAAATGTAGCTAGAAACCAGGCAAAATTAACAAACTTCACAACCAGTCCCTGAAACATCTGGAATTAACTGTATTTTCCCAGACTCCAATCTGTCTCTGTACGAAGCCATGGCTGCCCTCCCTGTCTCTTCCCCACAGATGTTGACACTGATCCGCCACAAGCCCCAAGAGATCCTGGTCAGAATAAACTGACGAAGAAAACATAAGCAGAGCAGCAAGCCCCCCACGTCAGCATGGACCTGACAAGGCAGCAGCAGATGCGCAGACATCCACAAGGAAGAGACAGGCTGAATTGGGAGATAAACACCGGGCCGAGGTTGAAGCACCGTGAGCCTGCTTCTCGAAGTTGTATGAGTTGCTGAATCAGCCCGTCTGAGTCGGATCGGAAGAGGGTCTTCTCATCAAGCAAGTGTGCAAACGTTCCCCTGATCCCACCTCTGTGCCTTTGCTCAGGCAGTTCCCTCCGCCAAGAATGCTCTCATCTCTCCCCTCCAACCTGGGAAAGTCATGGCCATGCTGCAGTCCCCTCGCTCTCACAGCTTGTGTGGTCACAGAGCTGGTTTTATGCTAAAGTTTAGTTGCTATTTTCTGTGGTCAGTTTCTGAAGGAGGCCAACTGTCATCTCTGTCCCCTTACAGAGTATAGTCAGGGGTTTAAGACCTAATAGAGCCTGGACTGGCCAATGTAAATATAACGAGAGCCACATTATAATTTTTAATTTTCTAGTAACACTTAACAGTTATTACATGTCACTTAAAATCAAAAAGAAACAGGCGAAATTAATTAGAATAAGATATTTTAACCAATATTAAGGTGACCAACTGTCCTGGTTTGCCCAGGACTTAGGAGTTTCCTGGGATACAGACATTTCATTTCAGTAATAAAACCAGGAATGTCTCTGGCAAACCAGATTAAGTTGGTCACTCTACTTAATAAATCCAAAAAGCTATAATTTCAACACAAGAGTATTTTTAAATATATTATTCAGACCCAATTCAGTGCCCAATAGCTTTCTTTGGCTACTGGTGGCTCATATTAGACAATGTAGGTATAGAGAGATGCTTGATATTGAAATAAACCAGTTAATACGTTGGAGATCCATGATGCTCTCACCAGGGTCCTGACCTTGGGACCCCCCACCCCTATATGGGAAACCCTCGTCCACACTTCAGGAACCCCAGTTCCATCAGAGGGGTCCCAGGTGAACCCGTGTTCTTTGGTGGCATCCTGGGGTCCACTACTAAAGCAGCATGTCAGGATATTCATAACAGTAATAATAATAGAAATAATACTAATAGAAGTTCCCGTTTCTTGAGTACTGGCATTTTCTCATGTAATCATCACAACCACCCCAGGAGGTGTTGTTATTACCCCTGTTTTGTAGGTAAGGAAACTGAGGCTGAGCAGAGTAGTCATATGCCTAAGGTCACAGAGTGACAGAGACCGGGTACTAAGCAAGGGAGTAGTCATGACTGAGAGCAGGGACCTGGGGCTGTCCTTGACTGCTTCCTTACCTGAAACCTACGGGCATACCTCCTAGGAGTTTCCGATAAATGAAGAACTGTGTGTACAGCACTTAACATGTACATGTCTGCCGAGAGAGCTGATACTGCTATGAGGGTGCTGATGATGCTGTGATAATATCGTGATAGTGTCGTGATTGTGATTCTGATACGAGTGCACATCAGAGTGAAGACTGAAAGTTCCAGATTTAGAAGCCCGCTTTCCAAAGGGAACAGAGATGGAGAACCAGGACTTGCAGAATGAATCTGTGTCCTCCCCAGCTGCATCCTTCCCCCAGGGCGGGGCCTTCTCCCTTGTAATTTTATACCAGTGTCCACACCCTGCCAGAAAGAAAGAGAAGCAAAATAAAAAAGAGAATATTTGCTTTGCCTCTGCCCCAAGAGGAAGAGGAGCTGCTTCTCTCTGCAGCTCCCTGGAGAGTTGAGAGTTCTCACCCTCCAGCGCCCAGCCCCAGCTGCAGAGGTCCTGGGACCATGTGGGTGGGGTGCTGGGAGAAAGCCCACTCTGGCAGGAAGAGGGAGGAGGGTTGCAGGGGTGCTGGGAGGGCAGGCCTTCCCCGAAAGGGGTGGCGAAAGGCCATGGCATTTTGAAGGCCCAGGGCCCCCCCGAGCCAGCCCTGCTCTGAGATGAGGTGAGCGCTGCAGACCTTTGGCCCAACTCTCCACTCACCCGCTGGCTAAGGTGGAGCTCAGAAGGGGCAGAGCAACCTCAGGAAAGCCATTCTTTACTGGACTCACACACGGTCCAGCATGTGACCATGATTGTGATTTAATCGGTATTCTCTCTCTGGATCCTACAACTGTAGTAAATGGCCGCTTGCTAGTGCCAGGTCCTGAGCTAAGCATATCATGTCTGTGAGTTATCTTTTTTAATCTTCTCGAAAACACTGGGAGCTCAGTGCTCTTATTATCATGCCCATATTACAAGTAGGGAAACTGAGGCTGCCAAAAAAATCAAGTCACTTGCTCAGGATCCGTTTGGTATTAGGTGTCAGAGTCTGGATTCAAACCCTGGTCTAACCAGCTCGAGAGGCCAGTTCTGAGTCGCTAAGCTCTTCAGTCCCTCAGAGCCCTCAGCCCTGATTGCCAGAGGCACAGTTTGCCTGGCGATGGGAAGGGAATGAAGTTCACTCGGCAGGGGCAGAGAGACAGAGCCTGCTGAGGGCCTTGACTTCCTCCCTCTGGGCCCTCCAGCCCAGGGTGGAACTCACAGCCAGAGCATGCCCACACCCCACCCCATCTTGCTGGAATCACACACACCAAAACAAAACCAGTTTGCAAATGACTGGGCCCTTTCCTGGGCCCTCTTCCTCCACCCAGTCTGACTTTGGCTTCTTTGGAAGATTTATGTGTGGGTCTGGTTTGTTTTTTTAAAGTGCAGACTAATGCCACAGAGCACTTTTTGCTAAAGAAAACCCTGTCTAGCCGCTGCTCACCTGGCAAAGCCAGTCTGCCTTCTGACTGGAACAGAAGTGCCCCTTTGTGGCCACTGTATGGCTGACAAAGCCCTTTTCCATCCTTATCTCATCTACTGCGCCTCCCCGAATGCTAGGCAAGCCAGGAATAGTATCATCATTCTCACAGTGCTCCAGGACGGGACTGTTTATCTCATCCCTAGGGTCTAAAAGAGGAGAGGCCCTTGTGATCACTTCTTGAATTGCCAGGGAGGAGGGACGCACTGGTAGCTCTGAAAGGTTAAGTGACCGCTCATGGTCACACCGTTAATGTCAGGGTCAGAGCTCAACGTTATGTCTTCTGACTCTAAAACTTGTTCTCTCATGCTTCTTTTGGATATTCAAGGATGTTTATTTCAGCGCTGTTTATAACAGCTGAAATGTCGCTCACCTGTGGGTCCCTCACTTGCGTTGTTGCCTTGCTTCTCAAAGTATGGTCCCACCAGCAGCTTGGGCATCAGCCGGGAGTGTGCTGAATCTCAGGTGCCACCCTGGACCTACTGAATCAGAAGCTGCTGTCTAACAAGATCCCCAAGGTGATTCATGTGCTCACTAAAGTCGGGAAGTACTGCATTTCAGTACTTCCATCGGATGAACTACCTTGCTTTTTTTTTTTTTTAAAGATTGGCCCTGAGCTAACATCTGTTGCCAATCTTTTTTTTTCTTCTCCCCAAAGCCTCCCAGCACATAGTTGTATGTCCTTCTAGTTGTGCTATATGGGATGCCGCCTCAGCATGGCCTGATGAGCGGTGCCATGTCCGCGCCCAGGATCTGAACCAGCAAAACCCTGGGCCGCCGAAGCAGAGCGCGCGAACTTAACCACTCACCCACGGAGCTAGCCCTATCTTGCATTTTTCACAAAAGAATGTGATGGATCTACATAGGCTGATATGAAAAGATCTCAGAATTTATTATTAAGCAGGGGAAAAGAAAAGCAAGTTACAGACCAACATAAATTTGTATGATTTGTGTACACATTCTTTAAATAAAAGTAACACTGTTACATGTTAATATATGCACAGAGCTAATCAGCCTAGCAGGGTGCCGGTCTAAAAGGGGAGCCCAGATAGCACTGGACTAGATCGAAACATGGTGCCAGGTAACTCAGGCTTCCACACAGGACAGACCTGTTGTAACCAGTGGTCAGAGGGAAATAGCATCCTTTGGGGGAAATTAGAACATTCTCCTCCCCAGCACGAGGGCAACTCTTGTCTGTGCCACTAAGCCAGAGTCCAGCTAGGTGACAATTCTCTCAGGTCCTTGGTCTTGTCAGCTTAGTCCTTGGTCAGAGCTGTGTGCTGCCCCAAGACTAGCGATCTGTGAGTGCGTCACCTGAATCTGTGCCCTTTAATACTGCCCTCAAGAAGGCGACTGCTTGGACAACAACAATTCCAGGACAATTCTAAGTAAGTTAAAAGGTCAGATTTCATTCCGTGTATGTAATAAATCCTTTATTTTGAAAAGAAAGAGGAACAATACATTTTATTAACTGAAACTCAGTTTCTCCACATCCTGCCTAAGCAAATTTTCAACAACTGTTTTTAAAATGTCAAGTTGAGGGGATGCGAAATTATGAGCCTTCCTGGGGCACCTTTATGTCTCGGTCTGGTTCTGTGTGTGGATAAGAAAACAAGGCTGGAAGGATTTATAGGAAACCATGAACCAGGCAGTCTCTAGGAGGTGGAATTATAAGAACTTTTTCTTTCTATCTTAAGAACTTTCTTTCTACCTCAAATGTTTCTCTAATGGTTTTTAAACATAAGCTGTTGTTGGGATGGTAAAATGGCACACTCACTTTGGAAAGCAATTTCTTATAAAGTTAAACATATACCTACTATATGATCCAGCCATTCCACTCCTAGGTAATTACACAAAGGAAATAAAAGCATGGGTCTGTAAAAAGACTTGTCCTTGGATGTTTGTACCAGCTTTATTTGCAACTGCCCCAAACGGGAAACAACCCAGAGGTCCATTAACAGGTGAATAGATGAACAAAGCGTGGCGTGTCCACCCAGTGGACTAGTTAGTACTCAGCAATAAAAGGGAAGGACCTCCATACACATAACAACGTAGGTTGTTGCTACACATAACAACATAGGTGAATCTCAAAATAATTATGCTAAGTGAAAGGAGCCAGACAGAAAAAGAATACATACCGCATGATTCTATTTATATAAAACTCTTGAAAATGCAAACTAATTATAGTGACAGAAAGCAGATCAGCGTGCGCCTGGGGCTGCTGGGGGTTGGAGGGGAGAGATGAGGGGGAGAAGTCACGAGAGTATGGAGAAACTTTTTGGAGTGATGGATGTTCCCCATTTTTATTGTAGTAATGGTTTCATGAATATGTGTGTGGATACAGATGTGGGTGGGTGTCAAAAAACATCAAATTGTACACTTTAAATCTGTGCAGTTTACTATAAGTCAATCATACCAAAAAAATAATAATAAAGGAGGAAAGAAAGAATACAAGTCTGTTTTACTTTTATGGGCAGAAAAAAGCAATAAGGATAAATTCAGAGGCACACCCACATAAAAATGTGTACTCTTTCACTCCATACCATGTTTGTCTTCTAAATCTCCTAGTCTCCCCTACCTGTCTTTGCAGAGTAAAGTAACTGCAATGTGTTCTTTCAAGCAGCTTATTGAAGACTATCTGTTCCTTTCTCTCCTGCATATTCCCCACCCAGGGTGAGCAAAGTGGGAGCCTGCTGAAATGGAGTCAGATAAGGTTTCCTCACCACCCTTGCTCCACGATGGCCCCAGCTTCTCCCCATGGAGCTTACGGGCTGTGAGGAATGTGATGACATGTTTACTTTGGAGCAGACTTTGGCCAGTAAATACACTCTCAGCTCAGACGAGAATCAGCCACTGATAGGAGACAGGCCCTTCCAAAATAGCTGGAGGTCAGTCCTCCCTCCAGATGCTCTGTGCAGCTCTTTAATAGTGAGGGGAGGCAAGGGGTTAGCATGAACACGCCGCGTTTTCCCTTGGGATCCCTAGAGCCTAAACTGGGAAGGCTGTTGGACATAAAAGCTCATTGAGAAGTAACACGAGAACAACTCGAGCATGGCTGACTTCAGAGGGTCCCCTGTTCTCCAAGGGTGAGAGGTTTGCCCCTATGTTGGCCTAGATGGTTCACCAGTCATGTGATCCCAAGTTGGTTAGGACCAGAGGAAGTCCACCGGATCAACTGGCTTTCTAGAATGCAAAACTTCTCTAGTAATAACAATGGCAATCATGTCAACAACTACCCCATGTACTGAGCAAGTGTTTTATATCTGTTGCCGCATTTAATCCTCACATCACTTCGTGAGGTAGGAACTGAGGCGCAGAGAGGTTAAGCAAGCAGCCCAAACGCATCCCATTAATAGGTCTGACTCTGGAGCCCAAGCCCAGAACCACACACCGCACTGCCTCCCAGGACACCTTGGGAAGTCCAGGCATGGCACAGACTCTGGACTCAGATGCAGGTTCAAACCCCCTTCTGCCATTGATGAGTTGTGTGGGAATAACAGTAACACCCACCTCACACAGCTCTTCTGAGGTGCTTATGAAGTAGTGCAGGCAACGTGGGCTGCGCACACACACCGTGATCCAGAAGTGGTACCTGTCGTCATCATCATCATCACTATCCAGAAAGATCTTCATCCAAAGCTGCTTCTAATTTGATCCTAGCGAGTCATAGTTAGAGATGTCCACACGGTTTCCTCCCTCACGCCCTCAAATCTAAACTCTAAGTCCCGTTCTCTGTGACACCCCAGGTCGACTGAAATTTTCTCACCCTCCCTTGGAAACTCCCTGTCCTCCTTTTCTGCCTGATTTTTCTCCTTGATACATATCAGCTTCTAGTGTACACCTTTTTATCTTGTTTTTATTGTCTTCCCAAATAATTTATGAAGACGCCACTGCCTAGAACAT